AGCCTCCTCCTCCATCTCCTCCTCCTCCTCCTCCTCCTCTTCCTCCTTTTCCCTCTCAAACCTTACGATGCAGTGCGATCCTCTTCGAACCCCCCATAGTCCGTTTGAAACACACGTTTCGGCTCAAATGTTTGCGGCCTCATCTTTTAACAAATCTGATCCGCCACCGCGATCGCAACGGTTGGCGCGCGCATCGAGCCATTATGTTTGCTCGTTCTGTTCGACTCTTGCGACGCAATCATCTAAGGCCCCCCGCGCATCAAGCCAAGCAAGGAGGCACTTTGTTCCAGGCTCCGGAAAGTTCACTTGCATGGAATGGGGTTGGCGAAGCCCTGACGAATTTCTGGACTTCATGCAAACTGGAACTCACTTGCACGCCGCCTTACAAGGTGGCGGAGATGGAGCTGACTGGTCCACCAAGGGGTCGAACATCATAGTAAGGATCCGCGGCGCTAATATGATGCGAGCTTGGCGTGATGATGGTAATGGTGATGGTGATGATGACGATGATGATGATGATGATGGTTTCTTTCGCGCCTTCTGCTGGGCCTGCTCCGCTATTTGTACGCGTGTCTTGCCTTGCTCTGCGAGGGCATTGATCCCCTGGCTACGGATGACGATGATGATGGCGCTGATGATGACGATGATGAGGTTAGCGCTGATGATGCCATGTGATGTCGGTGGTCATGATGACGATGGTCGTGATGTCGGTGGTCATGATGACGGTGGTCATGATGACGATGGTCATGATGTCGGTGGCCATGACGTCGCTGATTTTGCTGATGATGTCGGTGGTCATGATGGCGACTACGATGGTGGTGATGACGACGACGAGTTTTTCCGCTCGCAGCAGCTGCCGCGACGCCGCGTTGGCCTCACAAGACGCGCCAGAGGCAGCGGCGCGCCAGAGGCAGTGACTCGGCCGCGCCAGAGGCCTAGGCAAGGCAACAGCTGCCGCGACGCCGCGTTGGCCTCAGAAGACGCGCCAGAGGCAGCGGCACGCCAGAGGCAGTGACTCGGCCACGCCAGAGGCCTAGGCAAGGTCTTCCCAAGGGTTGCTCTGATCCTGGCCGCTTCCTGAGGGCGGCGAATTGTCGGGCGACGCCAGAGGCAATGCATTCTGGCCGCTTCCTGAGGCCGCTTCCTGAGGGCGGTGAGTTGGCCGGGCGCCCTCAGGCCGTTTCAGGCCGCTTCCTGAGGCCACCCCGTGTTGGGGCGCTGTCGCTATTGCGGGGCACGCCAGAGGCAGTGCGACTTCGCCCGTGGCGGGGCGCCCCCATGGTGGCGGGGCGCGCCCCTCTTGCGTCACCCAGTTCGCCCATGTGATGAGCATGCCTTTGTTGCCTGCGTGCACGCGCCATGCGAATCGATCGGAGTGTTTGTCGAGGAAGCCCTTCAGCCCCCCAGGCATTAAAAGCTTACTGAATGTGTCCCACGGGCGCTCGTCGCGCCAACGCGCCTTCTTCTGGGAAATCCGCGACGGATCGAACTCGCCGAAGTGCGTTTTGAGAATGTCTTCGACGAGTTCAACCAAGCGCGCGTCAGCGCCATGCGCGTCAGCCTCCGAGCCCGCGCCCTGGAGGCGCGCAGGGGTGTGCACTGGCAGCGCGTGCCCGCCAGAGACAAGGTCGGCGGCGACGCCGGGCAGATTGGCCACGAACACGTCGGGCGTTACCTTCCAGTGCACCGGTCGGAGCACAACCTGGCCTGGGTTTTCGATGACGAGCGAAGCGACGGCTCGGAGGCAAGCGAGTTCCGACGCTTCGTTTTTTCGTCTCGCTTTCCCCGATCGCAACGAGCCGACGGCCATCTCCCGGCGCAAAGCTGTTCGGCAAAGTCAGGGTGCACCGCCAGCCCGCGCCAGAGGCAACGAATTCCTTGCAATTGGTGACGGCTCGGACCAAAGCGCCTCCGTGCTCTTTAGGGCGCGCCGAGGCGTGGTTATTCAGCGCGGTGTGCCAGCTGATCTTCTTGTCGCTGACGCGTTGCTCCAGCAGGTACGCTTCGACCGCCTCGACGCGCGCGGCCTCGAAGTTCGGCCATGGCGCCGCCGTGGAAACCGCGCAGCGCGCGACGCGCCAGAGGCAGCGGCTTCGCGCACGGCGGAATAAGGCGAAGCGAGTGCGCTAGTGGCGAAGCGAGGAACGCTGAGCATCAGCGGGTTCGAGCCGAAATGCGACGCAAAAACAACATCCGACCACGGAACGATTAAGCGCGACCTGGGAAAACTAAACACGACCAGGAGGAAACTAAACGCGACCATGGAACAACTAAACTACAGAAAAGCTAAACACGACCATAGGAAGAAGTAAGCACGACCAGGGACGCAAGAGCCTTCGAGAGCTCTTCTTTTCTACCGTGGCCAGTCTGCGGCGACAGGTTCGCGCGTCGAGCGTGCGCCGACCACGCCCTGCGCGGAGAGTAGCAACGGAGCTGACTACGCAGAATGTGAACAACATCATCTCACACTCAAGGCCTTTGAACAACCCCTCCTCGTCGACTTGATAAGGGATGGGGCCAACCACCCTTGGCTTCAAAATTTGGCGCGCCAGAGGCAGCGGCGCGCCAGAGGCAGCGGAGCGCGCTCGAACAACTTTATCCGATAAAGTTGCCATTGCTGTCGTAGGGCTGCTGTGAATCGTCGGCAGGCATCGTCGGGAGGCTATCGCAGGCCGCTGCGACAAGGCCGCGCGACGAGCGAGCGCCAACGGCAGCCGTCTCATGCGTGGGGGAATCCTTCACCAGGATTGTCCCCAAAGGCAGCAGGTTCTCGTGAATTGCAGAACCTGCGCTCGGAACGCCCTCCCCAGGGCCGGAACGAGCACCAAAGCTGCTGCTGGCCAGCTCAGCGTCGATCTCGTCCGCCCTCGGCGCCGGCGTCTCCAGCGTCGGCGATCTGATCGGAGACAGCGGCGTCGGCTGTCCAGCGGGTCGCGAGTCGGCGGCGGCACCGCCGCGCTCGCCATCCGTGGAGAGAGCGTGCGCGCCAGAGGCAGTGAAGCCGCTTCAGTCTCAGGCTGGGCCTTCAGCGTTTTGGTGCGCTGGCCATCACCTTCAGGAACCGCCGGAGGCAGTGAAGCCGCTTGAGTGTCAGGCTGGGCCTTCAGCCTTTTGGCGCGCTGGCCATCACCTTCAGGAACCTCTGGCGGACCTTCTGAGGCCTCGGCTGACCTGGCACGCAACTTGATCTTGACCGGAACCTGCGCCAGCAGCTCCTTGTCACGGCAATGCCCAGCGGGGGGCTCCCGCAAATTGATGGTGATGATTGGCCCTTTCACCGAGAGCTGCCCGTCAGCGAGTTCGCGAACCAGTAACATTCTGCGGCGAACGGCGAGACAATCAAAATGGAGAACTTGCAATAAGAGTGGCTCCGAACGACCTTGAGCCACGAAGCGCCGCGGACACAGGTAGGGACTTCAACCCCACATGAGAAAACTAAACACGACCCTGGAGAAAACTAAACACAATAAAGGGGGAGAAAACTAAACACGACAAGGAGAAAGTGAAACACGACCCTGGCGAAAACTAAACGCGACCCGAGGAAAACTAAACACGACCCTAGGAAAACTAAAGACGGCCATAGGGAAAACTAAACACGACACTACGAAAACTAAAGAATACCCCAGAGAAAACTCAACGCGACCCTAGAGGACAATACCCTAGGAAATCAAGACAATACCGTAGGAAAACTAAACAAGACCCTGGACAAAACTACGAATATACCCTCTTGTTTAGTTTTTTTCATGTTTTTTCTCCTAGGGTCTTTTTTTAGTTTTCGTAGGGTCTGGGTTTCCTATGGTCTCGTTTAGTTTTGGTAGGGTGATGTTTGGTTATCCTACGGTCTCGTTTAGTTTTGGCAGGGTCCTGTTTAGTTTTCCTAAGGTATCGTCGTTAAGTTTTGGTAGGGTCCTGTTTAGTTTTCCTAGGGCCTCGTTTAGTTTTGGTAGGGTCATGTTTCGTTGTCCTAGGGTCTCGTTTAGTTTTGGTAGGGTCCTGTTTAGTTTTCCTAGGGCCTCGTTTAGTTTTGGTAGGGCCCTGTTTAGTTGTCCTAGGGTCTCGTTTAGTTGTGACAGGGTCCTGTTTAGTTGTCCTAGGGTCTCGTTTAGTTTTGCTAGGGCCCTCTTTAATTGTCCTCGGTTCTCGTTTAATTTTGGCGGGGTTCTGTTTAGTTGTTCCCCCCCCTAGGGTCCCGTTTAGTTTTGGTAGGGTCCTGATTAGTTGTCCTAAGGTCTCGTTTGGTTATTCTAGGGTCCTGTTTAGTTGTCCTAGGGTCTCGTTTAGTTGTGCTAGGGTCCTGTTTAGTTGTCCTAGGGTCTCAATTAATTGTGGCATGGTCATGTTTAGTTTTCCTAGGTCTCGTTTAGTTTTGGTAGGGTTCTGTTAAGTTGTCCCAAGGTCTCGTTTAGTTGTGCTAGGGTCATGTTGAGTTTTCCGAGGGTCTCGTTTAGTTTTGGTAGGATCCTGTTTAATTGTCCAATGGTCTCGTTTACTTTTGCTAGGGTCCTGTTGAGTTGTCCTAGGGCCTCGTTTAGTTTTGGTAGGGTCCTGTTTAGTTTCCCGCGGGTCACGTTTAGTTTTGGTAGGGTCCTGTTTAGTTGCCCTATGGTCTCGTTTAGTTGTGGTAGGGTCCTGTTTAGTTGTCCTAGGGTCTCGTTTAGTTTTGCTAGGGTACTGTTCAGTTTTCCTAGGGCCTCGTTTAGTTGTGGTAGGGTCCTGTTTAGCTTTCCTGGGGTCTCGTTTAGTTGTGCTAGGGTCCTGTTTAGTTGTCCGAGGGTCTCGTTTAGTTGTCCTAAAGTTCTCTTTAGCTTTCCTATGGTATCGCTTAGTTTTAGTAGGGTCCTGTTTAGTTGTCCTAGGGTCTCGTTTAGTTTTGCTAAAAAGTCTTGTTTACTTTTCTCAGGGTCTCGTTTAGTTTTGGTATGGTCATGGTTAGTTGTCCCAGGGTCTCGTTTAGTTTTGGCAGGGTCCTGTTTAGTTGTCCTAGGGTCTCGTTTAGTTGTGGTAGGGTCCGGTTTAGTTGTCCTAGGGTCTCGTTCAGTGTTGCGAGGGTCCTGTTTAGTTTTCCGAGGGTCTCGTTTAGTTTTGCTAAGGTCCTGTTTAGTCGTAGTAGGGTCTCGTTTACTTTTGCTAGGGTCTTGTTTAGTTGTCCTAGGGTCTCGTTTAGTTTTGCTAGGGTCCTGTTTAGTTTTCCCGGGGTCTCGTTTAGTTGTGCTGGGGCCATTTGTTGTTCCTAGGGTCTCGTTTAGTTTTGCTAGGGTCTTGTTTAGTTTTCCTAGGGCTTTGTTTAGTTTTGGTAGGGTCATGTTTAGTTGCCACAGGGTCTCGTTTAGTTTTGCTAGGGTCCTGTGTTGTGTTCCTAGGGTCTCGTTTAGTTTTGGTGGGGTCCTGTTTAGCTTTCCTAAGGTATCGTTGAGTTTTGCTAGGGTCATGTTTAGTTTTCCTATGGTCTCGCTTAGTTTTGGTAGGGTCCTGTTTAGTTGTCCCAGGGTCTCGTGTAGTTTTGCTAAGGTCCTGTTTAGTTTTCATCGGGTTTGGTTTAGTTATGGTAAGGTCCTGTTTAGTTTTCCTAGGGTCTCGTTTAGTTTTGCCAGGGTCATGTTTAGTTTTGCTAGGGTCCTGATGAGTTGTCCTAAGGTCTCGTTTGGTTTTGCTAGGGTCCTGCTTCGTTTTCCGAGGGTCTCGTAGTTTTTGCTAGGGTCCTGTTTACTTGTCCTAGGGTCTTGTCAATTTGGGTATAGTTTTCCTAGGGTCTCGTTTAGTTTTGGCAGGGTCCTGTTTAGCTTTCCTAATGTATCGTGTAATTGTGCTAGGGTACTGCTTAGTTTTCCTATGGTATCGTTTAGTTGTGGCAGGGTCCTGCTTCGTTTTCCGAGGGTCTCGTTTAGTAGTGCTAGGATCCTGCTTAGTTTTCCCAAGGTCTCGTTTAGGTTTGGCAGGGTCATGTTTAGTTTTCCTAGGGTCTCGTTTAGTTTTGCTAGGGTCTTGTTTAATTTCCCTCGGGTCTCGTTTAGTTTTGGTAGGGTTCTGTTTAGTTTTCCTAGGGTCTCGTTTAGTTGTGACAGGGTCCTGTTTAGTTGTCCTAGGGTCTCGTATAGTTTTGTCAGGGCCCTGCTTAGTTTTCCTAGGGTCTCGCTTAGTTTTGCTAGGGTCTTGTTTAGTTTTCCTAGGGTACCGTTTAGTTTTGGAAGGGTCCTGTTCAGTTTTCCTAGAGTCTCGTTTAGTTTTGGTAGGGTCCTGCATAGTTTTCCGAGGGTCTCGTTTAGTTTTGGGAGGGTCCTGTTTAGTGTTCCTAGGGTATCGCTTCGTTTTGCTAGGGTACTGCTGAGTTTTCCGATGGTATCGTTTAGTTGTGGCAGGGTCCTGTTTAGTTTTCCCAGGGTCTCGTTTAGTTTCGGTAAGGTCCTGCTTAGTTGTCCCAAGGTCTCGTTTAGTTTTGGTGGGGTCCTGTTTAGCGACGGTGAGGTGATGATGTCAGCGACGCCGCAGACCCTTAATATGATGCCCCCCCGTGGTGGACGAGTCAGGGAGGGGGGCACAATCCCCTGCAAGTTACGCTACCTCGCTTGAACACAGTGAACAAAACGATCATGCGCTCATTCCTTTTCATAGCACACAAACATCCCAAGTCCATGGGAAGGGCGCTTCGCCTCACCAGCACTGTAGGCAGGACTCTCGCCCGTGCGACGCGCAGGCTACGAAACATGCGTGCGGTGTGCTGCAGCTGTTAAGGATGAGTTCGACCAGGTGTGCGTTTCTTGGCCACCTGAGTCTTCCGAGGTAACGCCCATGCATCGGTGGACCCTCCACGAGCGAAACGGCACTGCGGAACGACAAAAAGTTCAAATTGCGCGGACGTTGTTCAAATTGAATCCGATTCGCACACGCGGAAACACAACACGTACCTTCAAACGTGGAGCGCAGGGACATTCACACCCGTCAGAACTTCCTCGATCCGATTCCATATGATGAGGTTTCCGGCCGTGTCTTCAATCCTCTGGCGACCAGGTCCGCTGGGGGGACAAGGAACTCCAGGTTCAGGGAAGGGGCCACGACGCCCCGACAATGACCTCCATCGCGCGTTTCTGTTGATGTGGCGTTTCAGATCCATGGGGGCAAGCAGCACTGGAATGATCGTGAAACCTCTGTCCCCGTCGTCCCTTTTCAAGTCGCCCTCTCCTGCCTCCCCGCCTCTTCCTCCTTCCCCTCAACCATGCTGCCCCCTAGTATGTCTGATTCGCCACCTGCTGGTGTCCACGTGTTGCTCTCGTCGTCCCACTTCATTTCAAACACATGCCCCTCCTCTTCGCCTTGCCCCATACACGGTTGGCCGAGATAGCAGGCGCAATGACGCCCCTAAACGATGCTCGTCGATGCTACAAGGAAAAAACCTTCTAGTTGTGATACTTTGACAAAGGTTTTTGTTTGACAGGCTATCACCGGCGCTGTCGAAGATGGGCTGACCGAGCCGAGCCTCATCCCTGTTGCCCCGCGGGTCCCCTTGCTCAACATCTCCTGCCCCGTCCCCCGACCAGTTTCCCGATCTTCCTCACAAGTGTCCCCCGCTTTCCTCTAGGCCCTGGCCGCGGCCATCCCCCTCTTCCCTCCCGCCTTCCCTTCATTCGTTCCTCTTCCTGCCTCCTGCCCCCCCCCCCCCCCACACACACACACATACCACGACCCCACCCTGACCCCCCCGCCCCTCTCCTCACCTCGAGACAAAGGCCCCAGAGGGTACAGGTGAGGTTCCAGAGGCGGAGGAAAAAGGATAAGGAGCATGACGAGAGCACGCGGCTGCAGAGGCGGGATGGGTTCGCGGTGCCTTCGGGCGGCATCTACTGGCGCGGGCAGTCCTGGACAGCCGCTGTGGAGCGGAGACAGGGCATGGGTGGCCTTACTGAGTATCGTTTAACCGATCCCCATCCCCAGCGGCGTGGCCTGGGCCCCACTGGCCGATTTACCCCCCTAGATGGGGATATAGGTTGTTCCCTTTGAGTTTCGAGGGGTGTATCCCCAACTGGGGTGGTAATTTGGTGGGGGTCTCGAAGGGGATGAGGATGGGGATGGGGATCGACTAAACGATACCGACTTACAGGGAGGTCCCGCTCCGCACGGCCGGCCGCAGCGCTCGGGCGGCTCTCGCATCGCCAGCGCGCGGTCCTCTGCTGGCCGCGCACGCACACTCGTGCACTCGGCCCCGCGCTCCGTGCCGGGGGGGGGGCGGGAACAGCTGGGAAGAGAACCGAGGAGGCCCAAGCCAATCAGGTCGGGTCAGGGTCAGGGCTGAACCGAAACGGTGATTTTCGCGTTCGTTTTGTTTTCGTCTTCCCTCGTTTGTGTTCAATCCACCTCTACCGCAAAACGAAGTCGAAACGAAAACGGCCCACGAAATCGCTAAAACACCGCTTAGGTCCAGCCCTGCGAGGAGGCCCAAGCCAATCAGGGCAGAGGTGAAGAAACCGAAAACGGGTCAGGAGTCCTGGCCCTCAAGGCCTGCGTCAGGCCCGTCCTCGCGGCGCCGCGGGCCGCCAGGCCCTCCCAGAACGACGAGCGCACCGGCCGTCGGGCCGAGCCTCGCGAGGAGCCCACCCTTGGTCCAGCTGCGGGCGAAGAGCAGGAGCAGGAGGAGGAGGAGGAGGAGAAGGAGGAGGAGGAGAGAAGGAGGGAAGGAAGGACTCTTCAAACGAAGGAACAGGAGGAGGAGGGAAGGAGAAGGAGGGAAGGAAGGAGTTTTCATCAAAAGAAGGAGGAGAAGAGGAGAAGAGGAGACGAGGTGGAGAACCCTCCCTCAACCTCACCCCCGACCGTGGCCACGCCTTCCCGCCACCACTGGGATCTCCCACCGAGGCCGGCCGCCTGCGCCTCGGAGGGCTCCAGCTCGACGAGGCCATCGAAGCCGCCCTGCGCGGCCCCCCTTCCGTACGATCGCTGGCCATTTCGGCCACGACGGAAGCTCCTCCTCCTCCTCCTCCTCCTCTTCCTCCTCCTCCTCCTCCTCCTCCTCCTCCTGCTCCTCCCCCTCCTCCCCCTCCTCTCCCTCCACACCTCTTCCTGATAAATAACTCCTCCTCGTCGCACCGCCAGACGTGACGGCCAGGTGGGCTGGGCGCTCCGTCTGAGACTTCCTCACCGCTTGTGATCCTGAAGCTTGTAAGCTCCAACGACTTACAAGGATGGAGGGCGGGTGGTTTTCAGGATGTGTCTCTCGCCCTAGCGCCGTGCACATAAGGCTAAAAGTATTCAAACAACTACAAAGATGGAGGGCGGGTGTTGTTCAAAGTGCGTTTTCGCCGTGGCGCCACGCACACATTCGCATCACAAGTTTCCAACGACTAAAATGGTGGAGGACGGGTGGTGTTCAAAATAGGGCTCTCGCCGTAGCGCCACGCACATCTCTGTAACTACACCGGCGTTGAGACCCACCCCCAACAAGAAAGCATGCATGAGAAGACACAGAGTGTCTGAAAGCTGGTCACGCCACGCTCAGAGCGCGTGTTTCGCGTTCTGGATTTTAGGCGCACGGGCGGAAGGGGAGGGGAGAGTGGGGGCGGTCTGGCTCTGGACCTCTGCTTAACGCAACTGGCTGCAACAGTGCGTCCTGTGGGGGAGACTCCACCTGCTTGAAACAGGCGCCCAAAAAAGCCAAGATCTAATCCATAGGGGGGGAGGGGGTGCGAGGTCCCGCGCCGATGGGCAAAACCATCAATAAGAGAACGATCATCAACCAGCACGACACGGCACATGTTTCGCATTCTGGGTTTTAGGCACCGTCGCGTGCACGAGCACGGCACATGTTCCCCATGCTGTTCTTTGGCACGGCGCGGGCATGGCAGCGCATGCGTTCGCATTCTGGCTGTAGGGCACGGCGCATAGAAAGCAGAAATTCGACCCAACGATAAGCACCCCGACAAGCGAAGCCGTTTAGCAAACGCACCCAGGGAAGGAATCGAGTAGGGCAGGGCTGTTCACTAAACACCCAGGGCCGTTTCGCAAACGCCAATTATAGAGGTCGCGGTGTTTTGTTCCTCTCTTGAGCACAGGCACGACACAGCACGGCATGGCATTTGCTTCGGATTCTGGGCTCGGGGCACGGCTCGGGCACGGCAAGGCACGGCACACGGCGAGGGCACGGGGGGGCGAATAGGCTGGCCCCTCCTTTTGTTTGACTCGTGCCACCCTCTTTGCTTCACTGGTTTCACACCTCCCCCATCTGTGCTTCACAAATGTCTGTTCGAGGACCTTCCGATGTGTATCTCTGAGAAACGAATATGCAGATGGGAGACTTGGCCATGACCTGAAACCTCGGTCACCTCGTATACGCGATGCGCGGGAGGGCTCATTAGGACGGTGAAGGTGCCAGAGGCCGCCACATTTGCAACTCCTCGTGTGGCTTGCCTTGCAAGCCGTGTGCCAACACTGCCGCTACTGCTCTCGCTGCCGATGTGACGCATCACTGAGCGAAACCTCGTCATGAACCTGGCGCATGTTTAATTGTTCCCTGTCTCTCTCTCTCTCTCTCTTTTCTCTCGCCCTGCGCCTCGCGGCCGCCCGTACCTTGTTCCTGCCGTGACCAGATCACCCACCCCCTTCACCGAAGCTGCCACTCCTGCTCTCGCCCCTGGCAGTGGCGTGGCCAGCCGTTCCCGGTGCTGCCTCCGACGGGTGGCCAACTGCTGCTGCTGCCGGCGCCGCCGTCGTCAGAGACGCCGCATCCAGACTGCACCGAGGAGGAACAGGAGGAGGAAGCGAGGGGAACAAGGACAAGAGGACGAAGGGGGGAAGAGAGTGGACGACAAAGAATGGGATGGGGAGGAGGGGGGGGGAGTGGGAGCAGGAGGAAGAAGGCGAGGACTGTAAGGCTATACGATGTCTTTCGGGGAGGAAGGTCCCCATGGAGGCCGGGCATCACAGGAGCAGCCGCCCAGACTGAAAGTCTCGAAACCCTGGCGCTCTGCCAAGCCTGCCGCAGACCCGGGGACGCCGATCCCTGGGTCGGCTTCGGACATGATGGCGCTGCAGGAGGAAGGCGAAGAACGCACGCTGCTAAGGACGACAGGTGACGCTTAGCCGCCATGGGCCTCGAAATCGCCGAGCCGAGAGAGCGAGGACTCGTGCTCAGCCGTCAGCGTGTGGTAAAAATGGAACCCGATGAAGTTTTCATGCAGCCGCGTCTCTACCAGGGGTGTGCAGTGACCGAAGCTGTGCCCAAAACTCGGCCCAAGCGTGACAGAGATCTGCGCCCAGATTCTTCCGAACGCGCCCGAACGTTACCCAATCTATTAATTCGGAACCAATGCGGCGTTCAATGTCGATTGCGATTTCGGTCACGCTGTGTTTTCGGTTACGGTTTCAGGCGCGTTTTCGGTCACATACCTTTTCGGCTGATAGGGGCTTGGTGCCATGAACGTTCAAGTGAGGAGGATGAGGAAGACGAGGACCAGGGCAAGCCTTTTCGAACTCGCCGAAGGTGAGTCGCCCCGCGCAGATGACGTCGCCGGCCCGCCCGGTGGTGGCGCTGTGCTCTACTACGGAGAACTCCAGCGGGGGGGCTGTGAGCACCACCACCGGGCCGTACTGGATGGTCGTGGTCCAGCTGAAGACAGGATTGCCGCCTCAAGGGGCCCTCCTCCCCCTTCCCCCCCTTCCGTCCCTTTCTCTTGTCCGCCACCGTGCCTCTGGGCAAGGAGTGGGCGTACCCTCGGTTCCCTTGCCTGGGCCTCTGAGCCTAAGTCCTCAGTCCCGAGGAGTCTCTTAGGGGCCCGGGCCCCAAGTTGCCAAATCTGGCGGGGTTCCCGGCGTGCCCCCTGGGCTCCGGCGCATCTTGTCGCATGACTTTTTGGGGCCCAAGACGGCCCCAAGATGGGCCAAGAGGTCCACAAGCGGCCTCCAACAGGCCCCCAGGAGGCCCCAAAGAGGCACCAAGAAGACCTCAAGAGGCCCAAAGAGGCCCAAAGAGACCCCCAAGAGGCCCTCAAGGCGCCCCACGAGGCTCCCAAACGAGGCATCCAAACGGCCCCCAAGAGGCCCCTCGCGACAATCCATAACTCAGGCACGGTGGTGGGATGAGCCGAAAGCCATTCGATATGTTGGTGTCAGTCGATAGTGGTAGGGAAGCCCTTCCGCGTCTAGTTACTTGTCAGCCTCCCAACGAGTCGGCTAAGGTGTGGCCCAAGGGGGACGCCATCAAACCTGTTCAAGCCTGCCGTGCCAGGCGGACTCTCATTTTTAAACGAAGGTTCCGGTTGTGGCCGCGGCGTGTCAGGTGTTACGACCGCGCCCCCTCGGTCGGCCTATATTCCTCCTCTCCCTCATTCTCCTCCTGCTCCGCCTCCACCTCCGCTTCCACCCGGAATGGTCTCGCACTGCTCTGGTGAACGTGAACGGCAGACTGATGTCCCCGACGGCAGGTGGTAGAATCCACGTGGCGGGGGGCTGGCTTCACACTTCCCATCTCCTCAATTGTCACTGTGCTGAAGATGGCCGCGCCCATGCGTAGCATTGCCAACTTGCGTCAACACACACACACACACCCATGTTGGCGGGCATGATGTGTGACCCCTCTCGGGAGCCCTCGGGGGGAATCCTCGGGAGTCCAACTGTGCTACCATGACCCCGTGTTGGCCCCGTGACCCAACAGGGCTATGTAACCCCGTGTTGGCCATGACCGCCGCTCAACTGCAGAGCCATCGTGACGCGAACACAATGGCGGCAGATCTGGTGTTTTAGACTTTGTGGGACGATAGCTGACAAGCAGCACGGGTCGCTGGACAAAGCATCCGCGATTGGTTCCTCCTCTACGCCGTGCGCATCTCTCTCGAAAGTGGCGTTCCTGCGCGGGCGCGGCGAATGGCTCGTCCGCCGAATCGCAAAAAAAGGCGGCAGCGGCAGCGGGACCGCGCGAGAGCGGGCGGAATACCGACCACGCCCAAGCGCCGCGCAGCTTGTGAGTGTAAGTGGCAGTGCTGTGTCAGCGCGGCGAATGCTTCATCTTCGCTGCGCCCATCAGAAATCGTGTCGCTCCCACGCCTGCGGCCCGCGTAGTTTTCTCTTCGCCAACCCGTTGGAAGCGGAGCCGCGCACCAGCGCCCTCGAATGCGTTCCAATCTCCACTGCAAGCTGTGCCACGGTTGATTACCATGTTGCGAGAGGAGGGTGGGAGTAAGAAAGGCCCTCTGGTTAACTTGACTCCTCCTCCTCCTCATCCTGCCCCAAGACTGCTGCTCCATCCGCATATGGCCGCCTGCGTCTGTCGACAGCTGCGTCTGGACCTGCATTGGGAGGAACGGTATGGGATTAAGGGGAGGAGAGGGGGTGGGACAGGGAGAAGGGAACAGAGAGGCAGCGATCGGGGCCGAAGCGAAGCGAACGCCGGAGTCGCGCGCGCTCATCTGGGGAGCCCGCACGTGCCCATTGGGGCATGGCGTGGAGGCTCGGGGTTGAAAGGGTGGGAGGGGAGCAAGAGAAGGGACTAGAGAGGGAGCCTGAGCGTTGACGGGGTGAAGGGCGGGGTGACGAGAGACACGGAGAGAGGGCGGGGTCGAGCATGCCCCCCCCCACCCTGCGCCATCAGCCGCCCGGTTCGGAATGCGTCAGCGAACAAGGCGGGGTGCGAACCATCGCAAACGAAACCAAAGATAAAACAGTGGAACAACACCAGACGCAGCAACACGAAACCAGTGCGGCCAGCGGCGAGGGCACAGCGATCGGGGGCGGGGGGGGGCGCGGAGGGAGGGAGGGCGGGAGGGAACGAGTGGGACGAGAGGGGAAGAGAGGATGAGAGGGGGAGGAGCTTGGGAAGGACGGGGGGGGAAGGGATGAGGAGGGGGAGAAGGACGGGATGGGAAACGGGGGCGAAGAATGCAGAGCTTCGGGCCCCTGCCAGAGATCACACGGGCCACCTGTTCGAGCCGAGCCCGGCCACGGCGACCCCCCCACCCTCGGCGCCCGCGAACGCAGAAGGAGACAAGCGCAAGGGCACGCGGGCCCTTCTTCCATCCAGCTCCTGATGTCCCCCTCAGGAGGCCGAACCATGGGCCCGCTGGTTCTGCAGGCATGCCGTCTCTGCCCACACGCCCCGTCCTCCCAGCGCCACATGCCCCCCCCCCTCGCGCGCCCATTCTCCGCAACACGTCGGCCCCGGGGTCCGCCCGCACAGGGATCCAGCCCATTGCGAGCTCAGAAAGACGAGCACTCCTCGGTCGTCTTGTTTCCGTGGATGGTCCAGGCAGGGTCCCAATGGGGGGGCACCAATACTTACGGGAGTCGCCACCTCTCCCTGGGGAGGGCGGCAAGAGGAGGAGGAGGAGGAGGAGGAGGAGGAGGAGGAGAAGGAGGAGCAGCAGAGCAGAGCAGAGCAGATCAGAGCAGAGCAGAGCAAGGTAGAGCAGAGCAGAGCAGAGCAGGACCAATGGTGCGATCGAGAGACTCCGACCGAAGGACGACGGCTGAGGGCCCCAATACTGGAAGATTGGGGACCAGGTGCTCGAAAACCACTCGAGGGGTACGGGAGTCTGCGGGTGCAGAAAGCCCTATGTTTTCACTCGCAAACATGACATTTCCCGTCGCAGCAGATGAACAACCCCCCAGGATCAGCTTCAGACTCGGGTCGATCCCTGACGGTCCGACTGCTGTTGTCCAGAACATTTCCCGAGGATTTTGTTTCTCGCAGCAAGCGCGGGACAAAGCATGAACGCCGCATACGAATGAGAACCTGTCCCGAGGATGAATCATGATTGTGAACAGCCCAGTGAATCAGCCTAGCGTAAGCATCTGTATCTCAACGCGAAGCACACGACCAGGAATCACAGAGGAGAAAGAGGAATAATACACCATAACTACCACAGTGCGACCCTACCTAGAAGTTGGAGCCCCTAGGAAAACAACATTGGTTGCTATGCTATGCTATGCTATACTATGTTGCGCTATGCTATGCTATGCTATGCTATGCTGCGCTATGTTGCGCTATGCTACGCTATGCTATGTTATGCGATGATCTGCTAAGCAATGATATGTCATGATGCGCTGTGACACACCAAGCTATGCTATGCTATGCTATGATTTGATAAGATGCACTATGCAATGTTATACTACGTTATGCTATGATATGCTGCGCTATGCCATGCTATGCTATGAATGGCTATGTTATGCTATGCTATGCTATGCTAATGCAGCGCTGCGTTATGTTGCTAAGCTAACCTTCTAGGCAGAGCCTAGGTAGGGAATCGAGGCTAGCTCGACATATGTCGCACATTGCTTTTGCGTTGCCTTTCCTTTGCTTTGCTTTTGCTTTTGCTGTGCGTTGCTTTGCGTTGCTTGTGGTTTGCTTTGCTGTCGCTGATGTTGCTTTGCCTTTGCTTTGCTGCTATGCTATGCTCGGCTCTGCTATGCTATGCTATGCTGCGCTATGTTATGCTGTGTAATGCTATGCTTGGCTATGTTATGCTGTGCTATGATATGCTGCGCCATGCTGTGCTATGTTGGGCTATGATATGATATGCTGTGTTGCGCTATGCTATGCTACGCTAGGCTATGCTAAGCTCTGCTATGCTAGCGCTCAGCGAAGCTAAGATGAAGGTAAGCTAAGCTAAGACAAACCTGAGCTACTATTAAGCTAAGCTAAGCTAATATGAAATAAGCTAAGCTAAGATGAGATAAGCAACGCTAAGCTAAGGGACGTAACTGGGGGAACCGCGGGGCGGATACTGGGGGAACCGCCCAGGGCGGTTTATACTGCCCGGCCCTTTAAGCACATAGAGTAAGAACCCTTCTAGGCAGAGCGTAGGTAGGGAATCATACGAATATGACATGAACCAGAAGAAGAAGACAACCCAGGCGGGATGGACGGGTAAAAGGGCCCATGCACAAAGAACCCAAGAAGCAATGTGGCAACACAGCCCGATGCGGCCTTCACGGCCGTCTCCAGAAGCTCGAGAAGCTCGAAAAGCTCGAAAAGATGCGAAGCAAGAGAAAGCCCGTCGCAGGACAGACTTTTAGCTGTGCCCCATTGTGATCTACTACTTGAAGCACACTGACAGAGGATCCAAGGCGGAACTTCCGATTATAGCCCAGCATTTCAGAAGCATGGGCCCCATCATACTGGAGGAGCGCCCTCGTGCTCCACGTCGTGAAACAAATGCCTCCCATCACTCGCGCGTCGCAAATGGACTAGCACAGCAAACGGGCGATGAGGTTGGCGAACTGGCTAAAGATACCACTCTGGATCAGCATCAGGCTCGGATATGCCGCGCGTCTCCTAAATAAGGTAAACCCTGACAAAGCCGAACTCGCGGATGGTACTTCCATTTCACCGGATGCCCGCCTTCTCTCTGTCAGGCCCGGGGCCAATTTAGCGCAGCGCTTCCCACCCCACAGACAGTCACCCATGGTCGCGGTCGAAGAAGAACCTGGACGGAGAGAAACGGTCCTGGAGGGCGATATTGGCCCTGCGGCCCAGAACCTCCACCTTGATCTAGCGTGGTTTCTCACACGAGACGTGCAGGCGTACATTCCTTTGCGCCAACTTCCATCGGCATCACGACGACAGGCCAACGCCTTGCTGGCAGGGCTAAGTAGCAGCCAGGCCGGCAACACCTCGGATCTTGAGAACGAACTGCTTCGACAGGGGGTCACGGGCCGTGAGATCGAACTGGCCGGGCGGCACCAAGACCTCCTCCACTCGTTCCTTGACCTTGATTTCGACTCCCCTCGGGCCACCATTTGCCCTGCACTGACGCGCGTGACTGCGCCATCCGTATCTCGGTCGAATGTCGTCGAAGTGATATGTATGGGCTGTGTTGCCTGGGAGTTCGCAACCACGAAAGCTTCCTCCAGGGCTTTGATCTGCACAGCCATCTGCGCCAGCCGCCCATCGCGCGAGCCGAGGCGTCAAGAGTGTGAGAGGAGTTGGCCATCGATCAACACAGTCTTTGCAGCCAGTTCATGGCGACGCTCATCAATCTTGGGTGCGACAGCGGTGATTTATTGATCAACGCGGCCTGCCGTTAATTTCAAGTCCGCTTGGCACTGCGCATGACACATGCTGAAACCCTGCTGGAAGGAATCAGCCGAGGCTTCGGCCTCGCGCTGGAAATTGTCGGGCACCGTCTGGCCAACAGTCGCACCGACCTGCATCCGGAAGGATTCTGGTTCCCTGCTTGATGACGCCAGATCAGATGGACCAAACCTAGTCGGACGACATCTCACCAGCATCGGAGACATCTGCTGTGGGAGGGATGAGTGCCCGAGAGCCGATCTGCACGTGCCCACCCCTGCGGGACAGAGCCTGCACTAGGAGTCGGGATGCCCCCCAAGAGACACGTGCGCCGTGAGGGCAGCGCACAGTGAGGTTAGAGGTAGAAAGATGCAGGTGTCTTCGTCCACGCGGAGGAGATCGAGGGTGACGGGACCAGTAGATGGCGCACCAGGGGTAGAGCCAGCACTGCCAGAGCCAGCAGTTCACGAGAAGCCCACGCTTCTCGGGATTCCTGACGGCCCTCCTGCCAGGCGTGCCAAGGGCGGCATGTTGACATTACCTCACTGACATGGCCCCCTGACTCAGTACCTTGCCGCATTCGTCATTACCTCATCTCCTGGCCCCATTTTTCATCCTTCCGGGGTTGCTAAAGGTGCCCCTGGCCCGAGGTGCCTCCAATTGTTCGCTCCGTTCTGGAGCCCCCGGGGCCGCCGGGGCCTCGTAAGGGGTGCTCTGGAGGCCGTGGGAGCCTTTTTGGAACTCCTGGGGGCCCCAAGGACAGGAAGGAATCCAAGGCTGGATATACACCGTGTCCTCAGGACCCCATCTTTGAGCCACCAGGAATCACCTCCGCCTGCCAGCGCCCCGAAGCCGCGCCCGAGGAGCACGCGACGGAAGTTGAGCAGGGACCGACAGTCCCGTCCTATAGGCCTACCACGAAACACTCTTAGGACCCAGCAGTGTTCCAAACACAAAAACGACATTCTTAGAACATAAGCCCGATGTGCTACAATGAAACAGCCTCAGCCAGAAATGAGATGAAAACCTTTCGTGCAGACCGCAAAAGGTTCTCAGAACATTCTTTGGGAGGCCTACAGGCGAGCTGCGACGCTTCGCCACTGCTTGAGGAAGAGGACTCCTCTCGCTCGGGCCGTGCTCGTCCCCCGGCGGCCGGCCCGCCCGCACGCCACGCGTGCGCCAGTCGGGGAGAGCGCCGCCGCCTCCGCCCGCTCGGCTCGCCTCTCCTCGGCCTCCTCCCCCCGCGGGCGCCGCCGGCGCAGACTGCGCCCGCGCCCTTTGGCCCCCGCCTGCCGCTCCTCGGCTGCGCGTAAGTCCGGAGGTCGGAAAAGGGGTGTGGCATAAAGGGGTGTGGTGCCAGTCGTGAAAATGGTGATGTTATTTACGATCGATAACCTCGCCAGTTCCAGCATTGGCACCACGCCCCTTTACACCATACCCCTCTACTACCCCCAGAGTAAGAGCGATCCTGGGCAAGAGTGGCCGTTGGTGCGCGACTTGAATGTGAGACGCGGAGTGGCCAAACCTGGGCGCGAAAGCCGCTGCTGCCGCTTCTTCTCGTTCAGCGGTCGGGAGGCCCCACTGGGCCCGCAGCAAAGGTCACTCTGGCGGAGGGTCACTCTTTACGTGTAGTCCAGCTCCCCGCCGGCCCACCCACGCCGCAGATGCCCAGGGGCTCCACCCGTGCCGCCCGCCCACGGGCCCTCTCGAACGGCGCCCGATATAACAGGGCAGAGCAGTTTTCGCGAGATGATTCGACATGCTCCTCGATGGCCCTCGCAAAGAAAAAATGCACACGTCCGAGCGATGCCAAGACACGAGGGGACTCAGCGGGTTGGGGGCCGGAGCGCCCCGAAGGACATGCTACACTTGCCTTGCTGAAGACTGCCACTCGACAGCAACGCGTGGATACAACATGAGCAGAAGTTGTATCATCCAATTCTTGGGGGGGAGAGCACGCACGGGGGGAGAGGGCGCCCGATCAGAGAGCACGAACACCACCCTCATGAGAAGCACCCCGACCAGCGAATCCGTTTGGTGAACGCACCCAAGGACCGAATCGAGCAGGTTCGGGCTGTTCAAAAAAAAAACGCCCAGGGCCGGTTCGCAAAGGCCGATTCTGGGGGTCCGGGTGGCTTTTCTTCCTTGACGAGTGGCGTCGCCGCCAGCGGAGCCGTCGATGACGCCATGCCACCTCCCTCCGCCCGCCAGCGCGCTTCCGCCCTCGCTTCCGAGGCTGGCGCTGGCCTCACTCCTCCCCCGTCCCGCCTCTGATCTCATCCAAGATTGCAGATACAGCCAAGACGCTGCCATAAGGAACCCTGGGGCCCCGGATCAAGAACGAGCCCCTTTCTTCCGTCAGTGAGACTTCGATATTCCATAGAAAACAAAAGGAAACCCACAGAAAAACTGCAACACAATTAAGGAACACTGAGCCCCTCCCCAACGAAAAGGCTTCTTTCTTTAGGGGCCCGACTGTAGGTGTCGTTGTCCACATCGAACAGGCGAGAACAGACCCCTGGCGACGAAGTGACGCTGGACACGAGAAAAACCTAGGCTGGGAGCCCAGGCCCTCCCGAACAAGTTTGGAGCAGCAGCCCTCGAGCTCGAGGGACAAGGGTAGTGGATGGGGATCAGAGAACTTTGCACTAAGGAGACTACTTATGAAGCCTTCCGCTTCATTCATGACTGCCCGATTTCCCGAGAGAAACAGAAAACCCTGTCCAGGGAATGGCGATCACAGTACAGATGTTCGGAACTGTGGTAACAGTCAACATGTTCAAGGCCTGACTGGGCGCTGCATGGCTAAACCTGTAACGTGTCCAACCTGGCAATACCATCTCATTGAACCTACTAAGGGTCCTATGTGACACTGCCAACCGGCATGCTTAGAAAGCCGACCAGCGTGTTCCCAAATGCCTCTCTGAGACCAGATTGTGTAAGACGACAAGTGAGCTTCGGATCAAATTCGAGCCCTATGCCAGAACCGAGCTGAGGCCAAACGACCATCCATCCCCTCACGACTCCTGGGGCTGGCAAAGCTCCGGATTGTGCACAGACAGCCCCCCAGGTAGTCCCAGCTGGCCTCATTAGCCCCCCCGAGTAGTCCCAGCTGGCCTCCAGCGGCGCCCAGGTGTTAAGACCGCCCCGGGCTACCTGGGGGGCCTGTTGAGGCCAGCTGGAACCACTCGGGGGGCCTGTCGAGGCCAGCCAGGACTACACGGGGGGGGGCTGTCTGTGCGCAACTCGAAGCCTTGCCACCGGGCTACAAATCTTCGAGCCCGACTTGGTCCCCCCAAGACCTGCTTGGAGCCCCACCCCACGACGACGTGCGGGTCCGAGATGTTCGCCTCGGAGCCGCCTGCGGGGCAGCGCGGGCCCTGCTAGCACTCAAGGAGAAGAGGAAGAGGATGATGATGATGAGGAGGAATAGGAATAGGAATAGGAATAGGAATAGGAATAGGAATAGGAATAGGAATAGGAATAGGAAGAGGAATAGGAATAGGAGGAGGAGGAAAATGAGCAGGAGAAGGAGGAGGAGGAGGAGGAGGAAGGAGTAGACTCTCCCGAAGAGGGAGGGTCAGAGGCGGGGCAGCAGGCACAGGCAGGGAGAAAGAACGACGTCCTACACGCCACCACGCAGTCACATGCTAAGCGGATGCTTGTCGATCGGCAACACTGGCGGTCGCAAGCGCGTCTGTCGATCCGGTGGGTCGCGCTGGGTACGCGGGACGCTAAACAGATCCAGGAGCACTGCACAAGCGAGACATGCATATCTGGTCGTGCCGTCCCGTCCTGGGTGGACGCCGGCGTGTCGCCCACGTGGGGGAAGAGGAAGGAGGAGGAGGAGGAGGAGGAGGAGGAGGAGGAGGAGGGAGAATGAGAAAAAAGGAGGGGAACGACGGCGGCGGCGGTGGCGGCGCAGGAGACTGTGGCGGAGCGGTACTGGGCCGAGCCGAACAGGATTCTGACTGCAGCAGCGAGCGAGCAGTGAGTAAGCGACGTGCGACCTGCCGAACGCGTCGAGAGGGGGGGGAGGGAAGAGGAGGAGGAAACGACGTATCCGATGCGGTCGGTGCCCAGCGCGCCACCACGCCCCGAGGCACCGCATTTCTTCAGCACCGAAGGAGACACAGGGCAGACCTGGTTGGTGCAATGCGGAGGACGGGAGGCCACGGTGAGCCTCTGCCAAGGATAAAGCCGCAGCTGCTCGTTGGCGTTGAGACCCCAAGGTTCTGCAGAGCACAGTGGGACATCAAACCCCAGGGGAAACCAACGCTCTGGGGCAAACAGAGCCCCAAGGAGGAGCGGGAGAGACGACGGACAGGAGAGAGGAGCCGCACAGCGGGTAGCAGTGCGAAGGTCGCGAAGGGCGACAGCAACACGAAAGCAGAGCACGAAGAGCGGGGAAAGGACCCCCGAGAATGTGAAAGGGCTGACGTGCTAGCGCTCCATGGCCACGCGAGCAGCAAGGCGAATCGCCGCCGCTCGCTCATAGCTCATTGGAGTGTTTTGCGTAAGTAGTGTGTCTCAATGTGCATACTGGAGAAGCGCTTCTATACATTGTGTTCGCGTGAGCTGCGGTCCGCCCACCCCGCAGTCGCCCCCCCGACCAAGTCCCATGCGGACAATCGGGTCTGCAGACATGTCGCACCTTCGCCACGCGACGTGCATGGCTAGATGCTGGCACATCTGCGGGCAGCTCGTATGGTGAGCGATGCCGTCTGGCGCGAGAAGCCACATATGCATGATGCTTTCTCGAATCCTACATGCATGCGATGTGACGCAATCCACGCACCCGTAAGTGATTTGAGTACACAACACTGCCAGGACGCCTTGAGCTCTGACAGACATAATTTGCATTCCGACCACCGGACCACCCCCCCCCCCGCATTCCCCCAGGAGTCGGTGCCTGTCAGGTTTCGAAGCGTCTCTGGAGTGTAATCTCTGAGAAATCTGGGAAGGTATGAGGGCGCAGAGCGCGGATGAGAACCCGCTGTGGTTGCGGTGCGTCTCCACATGCGCTCGCATTTGCAATATGCTCCCGCGCCGCGCGGTGTGCTGCTAGTCACTGGGAAGGCAGCTGGAAGCGAGGTGGAGGCTGGCGGGAGCGTTCGAGAAACTTTGCAATCGAAAACGGACGCTTCCAACATGAGCTTGAAGACTTACCTTGACGATGTGCGTCGCATAATCCTGCGCAGTATGCGGAGAGATCCAAATTCATCCTGTTGAGCGTGTGAGCAAAAAGTGCGCCAGACCAAACATGCAGAGACAGGGGCGATCGCTAGATGGTTCCGGAACGCATGTAGATCAGCAAGACGAAAGCTGTTCGGTGGAAGCCGCAGGAACTTGTATACAAAGCCTGATGTTCAAGCTTCCGAATGATGGCGGGTACGTAAGCGAGAGCACACTCGGAGCAACCCCTGAGAGTGGAAAACCTAGCGTTCTGGCACACCACTTACTAGCAGCGTGATCGTAGATCAAGCCTAAACTGGCCGCGCAGTCCACGTCGACTCCCAGGTAGGTCGCGCGGCAGGCAATTTTGAAGCCAGCCAGATGGGGGGCCTAACGACGAAGCTCGCCCCTGATGAGATCTATAAATGATTCTGCGCATTCAGCCCAAAGCGTAGCCAACGCACAGCTGGAAACATACAAGCGTAGGAGGGCGTGCTTCATGAGGAGAAGGAGGAGCCCGCCTTCAGGAGGAAGCAGGGGAAGTCGTGGTTGGGGTGGATGGTGGCCTGGCCGCAACGAAGCTCGCAAAAGTGGGGCGGCTAAGCAGGGCCTCCGTTGGGCAACCCAGTGCCTCCACCCAACGCTGAGAGGCCCTCCGTCGGCATCGGGCTGGCCATAAGAGGCGTCGGCGGCGGGGAGGAGGAGAAGGAGGAGGAGGAGGAGGAGGAGGAGGAGATTGAGGAGATTGCGATGATGCGCACCCAGGTGAGGTTCGTGCCAACTCCAAAAAAAGGAGGGGGGCACTGGCTATAACGCGCTGGCGGCCAGAGCAGCTAGCGCAGGGGTGGCGATCGAGCTCCACGGCCTAGCCGTTGGTCGCCACTCCAAGGAATAAAAAGGCCGACGCGCCCAGCGCGGGTGCACGCTCCAGAGTGCGGAGCAAGTCAGCACGAGAAGGAAACCACTGCTTATGTAGCGCTGGCGGCTGGAGCGGCGAGCGCAGCGGCGGCCGCATCGTCCACGGCCATGCCGCGGGCCGCCTCACGGACGTATGGAGTGAGGCCATCGCGCCCCGCACGGGCGCGGGTGAACAAACCTTTGTCTGTCTTGGCAAGGTTCTCCTTGCCCTTCCGAGTGATGCCACTGCACGGGGCGGCAAGATGGCGAGGAGGAGGAGGAGGAGGAGGAGGAGGAGGAGGAGGAGGAGGAGGGGGAGGAGGGGGAGGGGGAGGAGGACAATGCCAGAACGATTGCTCACCCCGCCACGCCCTGATTACCTCGCCCCTCCGACCCACTGGCCCCGACATCCGAACAATCTCCAGAATTTCAGCCGGCAAGCCAGCGGCCACGACGAGGCTCCTCACAAGCGCGGGCTGCGGAGGCGAGGGCGGGATGCACCAAAGCAATCCCGTCCACCCCCCAACATGAGAAAGCAAGGCGTCCCACGCACCCGGGTGTAGAGCATTTGCTGGCGTGGTTCACCCCTATCTCTCCAGTTCGTGCTGCCTTGCCCAGAGGAATTAATCTGGCTACCAGGACCGACACCGAAGAAATTGAGCCTCTGGGTCAGGATTGAAGATATCGCATGTGACTCCTGAGAGCTTGGGGTGGCGCCCTTTCTTTCGGGATCTTACACCAAGTTTGCAGCTTTGCTCACAAGCCCCTCGCGCACTCTGACTTGCCAAAAGCACTCAATGACTTGAACTGTGACGTGTACCCCAAAACAGCTGGCGCACACATGAAGCACGCAAGAATTAGAATACGTCAGCCCGATGCACCCGTGACCTCTCTCACGGAAGGCCCGAGCAACTAACAGGAGCTGGCCTTTGCGGCCTAGGGCAGACGATAAGGCAATTTGCCCTTTTGAGTTGAAGCTGAGACAGCGCTGGCACTGCAACGAACTGCAAACCAAGTACGTACCACTCATGGTTGCCGGTCTGTTCATCTCGGGCCGCAGGGGGAGGGGACTGCACACCCAGGGAGTCCCTGTGATGTCGAGCGTCGGCCAGAGAGGGAGGATCGAAAAGGCTAACTTGCAAGCCGGGCGCCCAGCCTTGACTGTGTCGAACGGACCAGACTTGAACAGAAAAGTGACATCGTCTCGGGGTCTACCGACAGGTCCGTGGTGTGGAAGAGCGACAGAGAGGAAAGAGAGAAGGGCAAGGAGGAGGGAGTAGATGAGGCGAGAGAGGACCCAGCGTTAAACATGAGGGATGAGGGAGAAGGGAGGGGTGAGAGTGAAAGGGAGGAGACGTGAGGAGGATCAAGAGATCAAGAGAGCAGGGGTAGGACAAATAAGAGGAATCTTGTTAGTTATGGTATGGGTAAACTGAAGGATTGGAAAGCTATGAATGGAGGCGACAGACCCTGACATCCTCCGATCTGACTGTTTCAATCCACGGCCCCAGGTCCCGATCCATTCCCCAAGGGCTGTTTTGCGCCCTAGATCCATTCTTGATGGTCCCGGGCCTGGTGACCGGCCCTGGAGGCCGAAATTGATAGAATTCGCCCGGGTTGAGACAATCACATCAACGGAGATTTGAGGAGCGGGAAATGGGTGGAGCTGGAAGTATCTCTCCTAGGCCGCCCCAAGCAGGGCCGGCTTGATCTCTGAGAGCCTGCTGGGTACTTCGCCGAGACGATGCTCAGGTGCAGAGGCTGCGTCCTCGCGGAGGCGGCACCGCCGTACAGTCCAGCGTAGGGATGAGAGCACTAGAGTGGCCCAGGATTTCCGATATTTTCCCATATGTTTCTGGAAATCAGCGTAAGTTGTGTTTGTGCCGACTTCTTCCTCCTGGAGCACGGCCTTCTTCCTGCGCTGGCCTCTATTTCGAGAAAGGCTCGCTATCCCGACCTCCTACTTTGGGCGTCGCCTCGTTCAATCCCCTGAGACTTCGCACAAGAATGATCCTCGTCCCTCTTCTCCATCCTTTTCCCCTGTCGTAGGGTGTGTTCCTGGACTTGACTATTTTCCACGGGGGGGTGGCCTGCTGGCAGGGAGGGAGAGAATGGAGAAGGAGGAAGAGGAAGAGGAGGAGGGGACAGCAGCAGCAGAAGTGAGGATGAGGAGGAGGAGGAGGAGGTATGGGTAGCAGGAGGAGGATGCGCCCAGACATCCGACTAACCAGGGCCCCAGGAACCCGAAAACGGCGAACAAAACTCCAGGACCCGTTTCATCTCTCGAGGCGCCAGGGGCCACGCCAGGGTGGGCACAGCGCAGATCCACGTAATCCGCGCGGTGCTCCAAGAGGTCACGTGAAAACCATAATTTCGTCCGTTTCGGCAATGGGGATGGAGGATCGAGGATCAATGGAGGACCCTTGTCTGGGGAGCAGAGGTCCTGGACCCCTTCCCCGCGGGTAGTTTTGCGTCCTGGATCCGTTTCTGGTTGCCCCCCCGGCCCGGCATCGGACCCCGAGGGCCGGAATCGAGGAACAGCGCCCTGATTGAGACATCCACACCGTCGGAGACCCGGGACCCAGGATCGAGGGAGGACCCAGACTTCGGATTCGCCGTTACTTTGGGCGATTTCGGAAGTAGGGCGGAAATGTCCGCCGCATCGTTCACGCTCCTTTGATGCGGATGTCCGCCCTACATAGCCGTCGCAATTTCCGCCAATCTGCGGAAACGGCCGCCCTAGTTTTCCGAGGTGGAACGTTCCGCCCTATGATTCGCATTGTTTGGGGTGTATGTCCGACACAAGTTGAAGTCGGAAAAGAAACCAAAGTACCGCGGATCGGATTGAAAAAACGCCCATTGAAAAACACACATCTCGTCGGATATTCGGGGTCCAGGATCGAGAGAGAACCATGGCTGTGTCGACCCCTATTCTCGACGTTGGTGGTTTTCGAGTGGACAGGAACCTTGGGGCCCAACTCGGGGATACACGATGGACGGGCCTCCATCCTCGAAAGTGGTGCGTCCGATCAGCCCCCCGGAGGTATATCCTGAGTTCCCCTCATTTTCTGAGCGGCATGATTCTTCAGGGGAAAGGCAAGGATTGGGCACGAAAAATCGCCTCTGAAAGGAGGACCCACTGGAGGTCTCCCAGATGGGTTGTCGGAGTAGATGGGGCCGGAGGATCGCTCCGCATCGTCGATGCATCACCGATGCATCGGCGATGCGTCGGCGACGTCGGCGAAGCATCGGCGACGTCTGCGCGGAGAACATCAGGCTCCTCATCGAGCCGCATCGCCGTTGCATCGGCGATGCGGCGCAACCCGTCTGAGAGGCCTATAGACCCACGGCTTGCGGGCGGCCCCCGTCCCAGGCTGCGGCCCGCTGACGACCTCCGCGCCGCCCGCCACGAGCAGGTACAGGCCGTCCGCCTCGCCGGAGAGCTCCACCTCGCCGCAAACCAGGCGCGCAGCGCGGCGAAACGTGGACTCCGCCGCCACACAGATCACCGCCATCGCGTCGCCGTCGTGAAGCGCCGCCGTCGTCGTCGTCGTCGTCGTCGTCGTCGTCGTCGTCGTCGTCGTCGTCGACACCCCTGTCTTGAAGTCGGTCCCCGGCCTCGGCGCCCTCGCGCAGGTCGCGGCGCTCCGCCGCCGGCAGCAGCCGGCTAACGTAGGCCGGCTCAAACGCTCGGCAGAAGGCCGTGGGCCGCAGGGCGTCCTCGCTCGCGCAGAGTCGCCGGACCGGGGAGGCGTGGAGCTGAAGGCAGAGGCTGGCGCGGGGAGTGGGGGGGCCTCTTCTTGCAAGCCCTCCTCGGAGCCCTCATCCTCCCACCCACTTCCTCCTGCTGATCCTCCAGCTCCTCCTCCTTTCCCTCCTCTTCTTCCTCCTCCTCCTCCTCCTGCTCCTCCTCCGCACTCCTCCTCCACCATCTCCACCGCCTCCTCCTCCTCCTCCTCCTCCTCCTCCTCCTCCTCCTCCTCCTCCTCCTCCTCCTCCTCCTCCTCCTCCTCCTCCCTCCTCCCTCCTCCTCCTCCTCCTCCTCCTCCTCCTCCATCTCCTCAGTAGTGCGGGCCGGACGTTTTGCCTGAGACCTTCTCACCATGTATGAGCATGAAGCTTGAAAGTTGCAACAGTTTCAAAGGTGGAGGGCGGGTGGTTTGACATGCGATTCTCGCTTTTACGCCGCGCACATTCGTCTTCGAATATGACTCGCGCCTTAGCGTCGCGCACATTCGTCTCACAAGTGTGTAGTGTAATTGCTTCGTGGATGGATGGCGGTTGTTTTTCAACATGCTCTCGCCTCAGGGCCGCGATCACTCATTCGAACAAAGTCTGCCACAGTTTACCAAACGGAGGCCAGTTGTGCTTCAGGACCTGGCTCTCGCCACAGCGACGCGCGCACTCGCCCGAAGAATCCACAGCAGTTCCAAGGATTCGCATAATTGAAGTCCCAGGAATTGCATTATGGCACGATTTGGCGCTGCCAGAGCGCAAAACTCACGTGATTCGCGTTATTGGAATCCCAGGAACATGGCACGATTTTCGTCAGCCGCCTTCGAGGGGCATCAGGCTGCGCGGATGAGGTTTCCTGCAACCTGTCCCAGCTCAAGTTTCTCACCTCCGATGTTATAGTTCTACTTTCTGATTTCTACTGTAGAGTATTTCTGCCCGCGCTAGGGGTGGAGCCGAAAAGAACCCCGCTACCGTGGCCGAGTCGCGCCTGAATCCCGCAAGCCCTCTGGGCGTGAGTGGTTTAGAGCGCTTCCTCTTCCAACTCCCTTTCTTCCCCTTCCGGGAGGGGTTTATCCCTCCCCCTACCCCTCCCCCCCCCCCCTCTGGGTCCGGGGAGGGGTGTCCACGACCCATTGGAGCGTTCAAGATGGCCTCGGCTTGAATACAAAAACCATTGGTTTTACTGAAATGGTGGGCTCGTTTTGGCCTCGGGGGGGGGCTTTGACTTACTACCCCCCTTCTTTGATCGATTTCCTCCTACGTAGATGGCCCAAAGATGGCCCCCGAGCCCGCCAGAGTGCTCCAAGAGGTCCCCAAGAGGCACCCAGGAGGCCCCAAGAGGTCTCCAGGAGATCCCCAAGAGGCTCCCGAAAGATCCACTAGTGGTCCTGAAAGGCTCCCCCGAGGCACCCACGACGCTCTGAGAGGTCCCCAGGACCGCCAAGAGGCCCCCAAAACGCACCAAGAGGACTCACAGAAGCTGTCACCAGACTTCCGAAGAGACTCCGACTGGCATCCAAGCGGCCTCTTGCCATTCTGCTCGCCCTCCTCCTCCTCCTACTCCTCCGCCTGTTCCTCCTTTTCCCCCCTCTCCTCCCCCTCCCCTTCCTTGTCCGACCCCTCCATCGGGTATGACGGCTTCCCCAGCCCGTTGTTCTACTGCATACTCCTCCACATCCCTGATCAGGGCAACTCGCCTGGGCATTCTTTCTAAATAGGCTGGTGGGGTTACGCGAAGAGCCTCGGACTTCTGGTGGGCCTGGGATACGTCAAAATATATGAGATTCGCGCCCCAAGACATGAACCCCTTCGGAAATTACACCAAATCCACGTTTCCGAAGTCAGACTCCGCTGCAAAGTACGACCAATTCGCGCGTCCCTTGTAAAGTACCGAAGGTCTGCTACCCCGAGGCCAGAACCCCTTCGCGAATTGCACCGTACTCGCGCTCCCGAGGCCAGACTCTGTGCCAACGTACACCAGGTTCGCGGTTCCGAGGCCAGTCTCCCCTGCACGTTGCGCCAGATTTGCGCTCCCAGGGCGATGGCCCCTTGAAAGTTACGCCAGGCTCGCGCCCGTGAGGCCAGAACCCCTTCGCAAATGACGCCAGGCCAGCGCTCCCGAGGCCGGACCCCCTTGTAAACTGCGTCAGCCTCGCGCCCCCGAGACCACAATCCTAGCAAGTCGCGCCAGACTCGGGCCCCCGAGGCAACGACCCCTCGCAAGGTGCGCCTGACTCGCGCGCCCCGATGCCACGATCCCTTGGAAACGACGTCACGGATGCCAGCCGTCATGCCCCATCGGTCGGACCGCAGTATAAGGTCGAGGTCGGTTCGGGGAGGGTGCCCTGATGCTTCTCGTGTTTCTTGGATGCTCCTGCGCATCCTGGGATGGGCCCTGGGCTGTTCTGTGTGCTTTGGCTGGCGCAGGGCTTCATGTCCCTGAATGATGTTATCATGTCCTAGGTCCGACTGCAAAGAGTGGGCCCGCTGCAGAGGGCCAGGCGATCGCCAGGACGCTTCAGTCACGCTGCTTCGCGGCGCTGCAGTTCCAGGGATGGCGCTCAGGGAACGATTGGGGAGTCTCGGACGGTTGTCTTCCAGTGCGGCGCTTCCCTCCATGAAAAACAAACTCTGGTAGGGACCTCTCAGAAGGGAGCTCGGAGAGAGGGTTCATCGCAACATCCTGGATGCGCCTTTGGTATACAGTGGTCCTCCTCCTCCTCCTGCTGTTCGCCCTCCTCCTCTTCCTCGTCATCTTCCTCCTCCTCACCATCCACATCACCATCAATATTACCATCATAACCATCATCATTACCATCAACATATCATCATCAACAGCAACCTGATCAGCGACATCATCATCATCATCATAATCATCATCATCATCATCATCATCATCATCAGCATCATCATCAGCAGCAGCATGAGCATCAGCAGCATCATCATTAGCATCATCAGCATCATCAGCATCAACATCATCGTCATCTGCATCATCAGCATCACCATCATCACCATCATATCATCATCATCATCATCATCATCATCATCATCATCATCATCATCGTCGTCATCATCATCGCCACCACGACCACCATCATCATCATCAGCATCATCATCATACTCACATCATCAGCATCATCATCATAATCATCATCATCAGCATCATCATCCCTCCTCGCACTTCTTCTCCTCCTCCACCTCCTCCTCAATCACTTCCTCCTTCCCCTCCTCGCCCGGCCACGCGCGCGGGAACGCTCGCAGTGGGATAGGTTTGCGTGGCGCTCACAGCAGCGCGAAGATAGGCGCAGGCCTGCCCAGCCTCCGCAACCCCCCACGGGTTGGGTCTTGAAGGCCTGGCAAGATGAGTTAAGAAGGGGGGCTGGGAGCAGAGTGGTTCTCGCGTGCCCCGTCCCTCCACGCAATGTTTGGATCCTGAGAGTTGGAATGTGCGCCACGAGGAAGAGGAGGACGAGGAGGAGGAGGTGGAGGAAGGGAGGAGAGGAAGAAAACCAGGAACGAGAGGAATAGAGAGAAGGAGAAGGGGGGAGAAGGGAGAGCAGGAGAGCTTTGGAGGGAGAAGATGGAAGGGGAGGAGGAGGAGACAGAGGAGGAGGAGGAGGAGGAGGAGGAGGAGGAGGAGGAGGAGGAAAATGGAGAGGGGACGGAGGGACGGAGGGAGGGAGGGAGAGAGGGAGGGAGGGAGGAGGACGACGAAGGGGGACCGCCCCCCATGTTCCCCCCCCTGCTGGGGACGAGGGAAGACGCCGAGCAAACACCGGAGCTGGGGCTTCCGGCGCTCCTGCAAGGCCTTGAGCTCCGCGTCCCAAGACCTGCGCTGCTCCCTGGCCTTCAGCAGCGCCTGCGCAGCCAGCGGCCGTCGCCGACGTCGTCGCGACTGCCGTTGCCGTCGTGAAGACCGTCGTCGTCGCCGCTGGAAGCTCTGATTGGTTTTCCCGACAGCCTTGCTTTGCTGCCCCCCTCCCCCTCCGGGGCAACACATTACGCGCAACTGATCCAGCCACTTGCAACGCAGAAGCAACCAAACAACTATCACAGCGTGACTTGGGCTGTACCACACACTTACAACACAGCATCCATGCCGACATGCCAATACCCACCCCTCCCCAGCCTGTCCCACAGATTGACCGCCCAAGCAGCCTTCTTGGGCTTGCATGGCTGAACAATGATGCCTATGCGATCTGAACATATAGCTCGGTATGCTGTGCAACGCATAAGAAGGACACTCTCAGAGACAGAGAACATTACGAAGAAGTGCGGCCTAAGCCCTGTCTCCTGGAAGCCGCGGGAGGACTCCACCGCACGCACGAGGAGGGAGGGCGACCTATCTCGAACAATCTGGAACGTGGGCTGGGGAGGGCAACCCCTCTCAACCAGCGACGGATGAAGCGTAGTCGCCCTTGCCAACCTCGGCATCCCACCGGATCCGCAACTTAAGGATCTGCAGGCGACGATGGAGCACGCTGCACCTGAGTGAGCCCCCCCCCCGCGCTGCCCACCGCGCGCAGCGATCAGCAACGTTGCCGCCTGCATCGAGGCGCGGCGTGGCGCGAACCATTTGGGAATCGCAGGGCCGCGGATGCGCTCTGATCTTGACCGCCGCGCGCGCGAGATCTTCGCCGCCGCGGTCCTTCAGAAGCCTCCAGACGTAATTCCAGAGAGTGGTTTTCGAAGACAGACAGCGGCAACACTCGGAGAGGCCGCGAGCTCAGCTTTATCGATTGACGGAAGGATGGCGAGGACAGGACCGCGCGCAATGGCTCTGGGCGCTCGCGAGGCGCGACAATCGAGCGGCCACGGAGAAAGAGCAATGACAGTCCATCCCACGGCAGCCAAATCGGGCCACTCACCATCGCGCAAAGGACCATCGATGCAAGATCTCCAGATAAATCCCCTGGAGAGCCTAAGAACCACCACTCGGGCGCCACCTCCGTAGATTCAGGCTCGCGAAGCTCGCGCGTCGGAACGAGACACCTCTCAGCAGCGTGAACGCCGCGAGGGAACTGACGGATGCCTCAGCAAGCCCAGGAAGAAAGCTGGGGGGCCCCTGACCAGCGCGCCTGCTGTCTGCACGCACACAAACACACACGCAAGGTGTGCCCACGCAAGAACGAGCCACTCACCTCAGACTCACGCGCCGACAAGCATGCACGACAGCACGGTCCAACGCGATAGCCAACCTGCCACAGTCCACGCGTCGGCCGCTGGCCCCAAACGAAGCACGAGCGCACGTGCGCACGTTGCTGCGCAAGGGCATCAGATTTGATAAACTTCACAATGGGCCACGGCAGCACTCCTCTCTCAAACTCAGGGAGATCCAAGCGCAATGCAACCTGCCTGCGCTGCCAAATCACACAGCGCACGCGAAGAAACCTGCGAATGACGCTGATGCATGCAGCCGTGGGATCAATCTTGGAGCCTCCAGGAAATTGCCATTCTGACGCAGATACAACGCGTTCGCCCCAGCGCGCTGGAGCGCGGCCCACGCAGCAGGAAAGGGCTCCTCGGACAGCACGCTGGGGAGACTGAAGTCCGCGGCGCTGGCCAGCAGCGACGGCCATAGCAGCGGACGCGGAGCCGCGAAGCAACCGCTCCCCCCGCCAGCGCTGCAGCAGAAACGTCGCCGGCGGCCAGGTGGCGCGGAACATGGGATCGAGACCAGTCTTTGGCGCAATCACAGGTGCTAGAGCTCTGGACCTGCCATCTGGCTTGCGATCTTGAAGCTCGCCAACCAGGGATCTCAGACGGAGGGGCCCACCGCTGCCGAGGCCAAAGACTGACGTCTCATAATTAGCAGCACCTTCCAAAACAGCACGCGCCATGCCACCTGGCGACTTAACTCTGGGTCTGCCAGACACGAGGGCGCGCGCTTGCGTCTGGCAGCAAATGCATGACATCCAGCGTTAACAACAGGTTACCCCTGAACACGACCAGCTGAATAGCCCACTCCAAGGTAAGGCTCAGACGCGACACCCTGCACACCCACTGAGTGCACCGCCTCGACCAAAGACCTGCGCGGCACAATGCCGTTTGCCGCAGCTCGCCCTTAGTTTATGGCCTGCTTCGTGCCTTTGCTCATCAACAGCCGACGCAACATCTTGGAAGCCCCTGTCAACTCCCCGAGTGCGCGACTGGCTGTTCCACATCGTTGCGGCCCAACATCGTCAGACGCACCTGTAGACGCATTGAATTCGCGCAAGTGGGCCCTGGAACTACAATCTGCCCCACGTGGATCACATTGCTGACGGCGACCTGCGCGTCAAGGGTCCTCGGCATACAATGCATGGAAATCACCAACTTAAGAATCTACGAGTGGGAACCACTCTCGATGGCGGCCGGAACCAAAAAGCGGCGTCGAACAAGCTCGAACGCCATTCGAAATCGAGCATCATGGTTGCAGTAGACATGACGTGGCTAGTAGAACATTCACACCGAGCACTAGGTATCCAAACGCACTTCTCAGAGGAACGACTCTTGACAGACCGCCAGAAACTCTGGACTCTGTCGTTCTGCCATTGCTGGAACAGGTGTCGCCGAATCCTGCGTTGGATCCTGCAAAGCACGCGAAGGTGCCCCGGGGGCCAGACACCGCCCAACCTCTGAAACAATGAATGCAATGCGCATCCAGGCAGAAGGCCGCTCTGGATCCCTGTCCACCGCCCAGATGATGTCAAGCAAGATAGCTCGTGCTGCGTCAGGCAATAGGAGGAATTACCTCAGAGAGCGCCGATCGAAGCCCGTGCCCGTGGAGGCCTCGAAGGATTTTGGCACTGATCTCAGCTGTTGGATTGCGGGTGGCGCTGGAGGCCCCCCTAGATCATCGGGCCGCGCAAGATGTTAATGGCGACGAGATGCATGCCGCCATCTTCCCCACTCGACCCGCAACGCCTTCATTTGTTCACGCGACGCGACTGGCCTGGGCGCGAAATGCCCCGCGCCCGAGGGCTGCCGAGGCGCGGGCAGCACAGGGGGGCGATGCAGGGACGACGCGCCGTTCGGCGAATGATTCGCAGCCCACTTCTTCCAGTCAGAACCCCCTGCATGCCGGCCGAGCGTTCGACTCGGCCGCTCCGCGCGACCAGTGAATCAGCTTCTTCACAACAGAAGTGAGTAAACATTTGGCGTTGGCAAGCACGCGGGACCAGGCCACATGAAAATCAGATTTCGGCCGATCACGCGACCGAGACAACCCCTTGAGGCGCTTGACTGCATCGGCTCAAACTCGGATCTTGCAGGAGCTCTTCAAGGCCGTATAAAGCAAATTCCGCCAGGCGGCAATGATGGACAGTTTGGGAAACCTCGGGGGCCCTGGGCGCCCGACGGGTTGCTCAGATAGCCGCCAAGCAGCGGACCTACTGGAGCGCTCGCGGTTGTCCCTAGGAGGTATCTGAAAGACCTGGAGACACTCTTGCTCGCAATGCCCAATCAATCGCGACCACTGTCAATCCGCATGCTCCTCATCCTCCGCCTCCAGAACAATCTCGCCCAACTTGAAGAGGGTCGGCGGGAGCGCGCAGCCCGCGGGAACTTCGGCTGGAAGTCGTCCAGGAACCTGAGCCACTTGAGCGGCCCCATCAGCTGCGAGAGCATGAGCAGAACGCACATTGGGAAATGTGGCGTCATCGACATGTCCGCGCGCAGCGAATGCACCCTAACGCACTAACGAACAAGTGCGCTGCTGACAATGTGACAAACGAAAATCTTACATGCTGGCCCGCATGCGCCCCGATCCGCATGTAATACCGCAGCGTCGAGCGCGCCAGGCTATCCGCTGCCGTGTAGACTCGCGGGCAAGATCCGCCAATCTGCGGAGACGACGAAGGGGGGCCGACCTGAGTCAAGAACGACCCCACCCTACTTAGCACGCCTCAGCTGAAGGACCCAAGGCCCGAGGAATACCGAAGGCACATCGTGACAAGCACAATGCATCCCCGAACCAGACCTCCAAGGTGTAGCGCTATGGTCCAACCAGGCCAAAGAACAGCATCGCGCCTCAAGACAGTGGCCAAACCAAGATGGAGACTACACCAATATTCCTAGCCCACCAGCGAGATCTCCAGTTCCCTTAGGACCCCCCAGAAGAAAGTTTAGCTGAGCAACCTACCTTGCGAAGCTGCGCCTCATGTGAGGCGCACTTCCCAGGAGAGAGAGAGAGAGAGAGAGAGAGAGAGATTCGCTTCTTGCAAGCCTGTGACGTCGAACTTGCGTTTCGACGCCTGAACTCGCTCAGAACAGGACCATGCAACGATAGTGGCAGAGAAGAAAGACCAGCACTTGGAAGCCGTACCCAAACTGGCAGATACCATAGGGATGTCCATATGTCTGCGGATGCTTGCGCCGAATATCTTTGGATCCTCACTCAGTGTGTAATTCAAAACCACGCTCGATGGACTCGACCGCGGGAGAGACCTACCAACGATATAGTTCAAGCGAAACACCGAGATGACGGCTCTTGCCGCGCAGCGCCGCGAGCCCTCCCTGAGATATGTGAGTCTGCACCAGCAACTGCGCCTTTGAGGTAGTGGCTTCATCAGCCTCGGCCCATGCATCGTCCATCTCGGGATCGGAATCGCGGTCGATCTTATTATGCGCTCCTTCTGCACCTGAGCCTGTGGCTGCTTCAGGCTCGACGCTGCCTGATGCAGCCGCTGGCTTGGCGGTCTGCCTGGCGGCGCCTCGGGCCTCGACCAATGCTGCGAACTGCTGGGCCACCTGAGGGCCAAGAGCTTCAACACTGCGGAAATGTGCACCTTCTGGCTTGGCATCTCCAACAACGTTGGACCAGGCCGCCACGGATACGGAAGCCAACTGCTGCTCTTCCAACTCGGGCTGCCGGCATTG